GCGGGTCATACACACACTCAACCGACAAGCACTCAGACAGGCATGCAAACCAGCAGGCACGCACACACACAGACATGGAAATCACAGCAGAATGCAGGAATTTCAGCAAGGCATTCATTCCAGCAGCAAATCCCATAAATCAGCAGTGTTTTCATTCTATGTTTTTGGCGGGTCATTACATTACCCCCCTCACAAGAGCGAGGTCGCTTCGAGCGAGTAACTCATTCAGATTTGGCACAGAATGCGTCATAAGAGTAAATCGGAAGGAGAGAGTTAGTAAGTCCGTGAGGAGTCATGATCGCAACAAATTTAGCAGTCTTTCCCTCAGCGATTTGTCGTTCATAAGCGTTCACAACACGGGGAGCACTCTTTAGCAGCTCTTTTCGGTCGATCCAGAAGAACTCAGTCAACGGGTGATAGAGGAAGTGAACCTTGTACTGTCTGTTCCTCCCTCTTCCCTCGTGAGAAACGATTCTGTCTATCTCATGACCGCCGTCGATAGGGCGAGGTATCATAGGGGCTCGGAAGGGAAACGCCTCATCATCAATGTGTGGAAACAGTTTGGACGCATGAAAGACCGGATACGTGCGCAGATGAGGAGACACGTCAATCACATATGAAGGACCAAAATCATCCCCAATCACCTTCAGAATCTACCAAGGGCCATAGTACAATGGAAGGAGTTTTCGTGATATGCCCTCTTCATTAGAAAACTCCGACATTTTAACCCAAACATAATCCCCTACTTTGAACTTTTCTTCTTTGCACAACTTGTTAGCATGTTTGATCATGGCATGCTGACGCTTGTTCATAGCTGCAATAACAGCTTTGAGCAAGCGTGCGTACTTGGCATTGTAGCCAGGCATGCTGGGCATCAGACTAGGTGACCGCTCAGGGAACAGATAGGAGAGGGGATTACGCATTGGCCATCCATATTGTACCTGGTTTGGTGTCACACCAGTTGCAGAGTGAATGGGGTTGTTGTGCAGTCCCTTCACTTTGTGCAACTCCTTGTCCCACGTGTTCTGATCTGGAACAATCAATGCGCGAAGTAGTTGGATGACAGTCTGGTTGATCTCCTCAGCCAGTCCATTGGCTTCGGGGTGTCGACCAGAAGTCTTGTTCAGTTTAATGTCACAGATCTTAGAGGTGAAGTCCTTCCAATCTTTGTTAATGAATCTGGTGTCCCGATCACTCACAATAGTTTTCGGGACGCCAAACTGCAGAATGTACTGCTGATGGAATTCTTCAATGACAAGTTCAGCCGGGGCATGGGGAGGGAAAGGAATCAAGTTCAGAAATTTAGAAAAACGGTCCACGATGACCGTGACTTGTGAATTTTCAGCTGCACTCACCTTTCCCATGTCCGTGAAGTCGATGGAAATCGACTCACCGGGTCCATCAGGAATGGGGAGGGGTCTCAGCAGGCCATAAGGCTTATGCCTGTGGACCTTGGTTCTTTGGCATACCTGACATTCAACAATAAATTTTTGAGCGGATCCTTTCATTCCTGGTCAATCAAACTGCTGAAGAAGGCTTCCATAAGTCTTCTCAAAGCCGAAGTGTCCACTCCGACCATGTGCCGAATCCAAGAAATGTGTTCGGAGAGGCGCATAGTTGGGTACACACAAGCGATCAAACTTCCCATATCGGCGGAATACAAGACCCTCGCACTCATAAAAATCAGGCTGACTTTTGGGGTCAGCCTTAAGTTGCTCAAGGATGGGACTAAGGTCCGAATCCTTGGCGGTGTGTTCGACCAGATCCTCCTTCAGTTTCCTTCAGAGGTCATACGAACCCACGAGGCAAGTCAAGAATTCAGGATGGTGAGACAGCGGATCAGCAACCCGGTTATAGCAGTCTTTCTTGTGTTTCAATTCAAAGTTGTGGACATCAATGTCATGCAACCAGCGGGTCAATGTAGGAGAGAGTTCATATTATGTCTGAATCCACTGCAAGGTCTGATGATCTGAGTAGACCTTGAAGTGGCGACCCAAGAGGTAATGCTTCCAATGTGCGAGAGCCTCGCGCAGGGCGTAGAGCTCACACATATATGTGGAAGTAGCTACCTTGTGGTTGGGCATGCGTTTGCTATAGTACTCAAGCGGACGCAGGCCATCACCATCATCTTGTTGCACCACTGCACCAATCCCGAACTGGCTCGCATCCGTAGTGACTACGAAAGTGAGGTTGGGATCGGCAATGCGAAACACATGATGACTCACCAATGCCTCTTTCAAGGCTTGGAACGCAGTCTCACACTTCTCACACCACGCATAGGCAACATTCTTGCTTGTTAGTCTGGAGAGAGGGTGAGCAATGACAGAGAATTTGGGCACAAAATTCTGGTAATACGAGGCTAGACCAAGAAAAGAACGCAGTTCGTGTACGTTCGCTGGTTGAGGCCAGTTTCGGATGACCTCAACCTTGGTTGTCTCCGGCTCAAGGCCGTTTGCAGACAACCGGTGTCCAAAATAGATGACGCCGTCCCTCCCAAACTCATATTTCTCTAAGTTGAGGTGCAGCTGCGCCTCCTTGAGGACCTGCAAAACTTTCTCAAGGTGCTTGAGGTGCTCTTCCATGGTTTTGCTGAAGATCAGGATATCGTCAAGGTACACAACCACAAATCTGTTGAGTTGATGGCGAAGTACCTTATCCATGAGGCACTGAAAGGTGGCCGGTGCATTCGTAAGACCGAAGGGCATAACGATGAACTCGTACAGCCCATCGCGTGTTTTGAATGCAGTCTTGTGCTGGTCACTCGGATCGACTTCGATTTGGTGGTAACCAGATTTGAGGTCGATCTTGGAGAAGACCTTGCACCCACCTGCCGCATCTAGCAGATCATCTATGCGAGGCAAAGGGTAAGCATTCTTTCTTGTGATCCGATTAAGGCCACGATAGTCAATACACATCCGGAGTTTGCCTCCTTTCTTTGGCACAAACAGGACAGGTGCGCCGAATTCAGACTCACTGGGCCTAATCCATCCACGATCAATCATATCATCAATCTGCCTCCTCAACTCCTCCAACTCGCCTTGTCCCATACGATAGACGCAGCCCTTTGGAGGAATACTCCCCTCTATTATCTCGATTTTGTGTTCGACCGGACGCTCGGGAACTCCACGAGGTTCGGCCAAAACTTCAGGGAATCGATCTAATAGCTGACGACTGTTTGTTGGGACTTCCGGTGGAGGATCATCCTCATCAGGAGAAATAAAATTAGACAGAGAATTCACAGCAATGACAACCGGATTAGAAGTAGAAGGATTATTCACAGTAGAAGTAGATGGATTAGAAGCAGAGGTGGTAGAAGTAGAGTTACTTACCGAGGTAGAAACGCAGCAAACGTAGAAGGCACATGGGGATAGGCTTTACAAAAGCTACATGTACATACTCAATCTCCTTGCGCATGCGCACTGATTTGCAGAATTTGGTTGCACTTAGAAGAGTCACAGGTGACTCGCGCGTCTCATCCAATAGGACGGTACGCTCGTTCCCCTTGGCATCACGCACCACGAACTGATTGTCCGCCCACGTGGTCCTTAGGCAATGAGCCTTTAACCAGCCCAAGCCAATGACCGCGTCAAACGGACACTTGTTCAGGACATAGAAGTTGAGCTCATGTGTGACAGTGCGGTCCTTGTCAAAGGTGACGCGCACACCTTTGACAGCATGTGTAGAAGTGACAACCTCTTGGTTGCCCACCTGGGTCTGACAAGGGTTCTGCAATTCCACTTGCTTCATTCCCTGGCCCCCCTTACGAATCCCGTTAGGAGAAAAGAAATTAGTGGTTGAACCACTGTCAATCAGCACGCGGATGTATCGGTGGTTAATGAGCAGTTTAAAAAAGGTTTGCTGCACACTCCCTTGAACACGACGTTGCTGCTTGAGTTGCAGCTAGTATTCCATGTGAGTGTGGAAGTCAACTTCCTTAAACTTCTCCCAAGGCTCAGTGTAAAGCACATGAATTGCAGCAGCCTTGGATTCAGCGTTGTTCCGGGCTTTAAGAGTGGGCTGTTGATCAGATTCAGGCTCATCAGAGGGGCCTGCAACTGATGTTACAGGTTCCCTTGTTGTAGGGAGTGCTGAAAACTCCTCTACGCCCTTTGCTTGTTTCCCTGCAGTCTATAACAGTCCTGCACAACATGCCCAGACTTTTGACAATGCAGGCATATGCGCAGTTTAGATTTTCTTTCCCATTCTTTCTGACTGATACGGAGGGTTTCCCAAGGCTTGGTAGATGCATCCTCCGGTTTCTCAGGGATCCTTGCATTCTTGGGGAGGTGGACAACAGTTCCCCTACCCAAACCACGGTTAGGCCCCTTGTTTGAAGCAGTCTTCCTAAACTTGAAAGCATTCAGTTTTTCATCTTCGTTGACGTCGGACTCAATGGCTGATGTGGAACAGCCCATATTGGAGTCCGGCTCTAGATCGTCATCTAGAGACAGATCATCCGCATAGGACTGATCTTCAGCCTCCCGATGATCATGCAGTGCAAGCTGGTTGCTGCTTCCAAACCACTTGCGTTGTGGTTTCCCACCTGCAGCGGGCGCCTTCTTCCGCCTGGCGAGGTCCTTGGCCTCTAGGTTGACTAGATCCGTCATGAGCTCTCGCCAGGTGGTATGGTCTTTGAGTGCCAACAGGGAGAGGTATTCTTTAGGGGCCACTCCCATGACTACATCCATACAAGACACATCAGTCATTCCCAGGTCTGGAGTAGTGAACAGACCAGTCAAATGTTGTTCCAAAGCTTGCATGGAGGACCTCCATGTTTGACCCTTGAGGGCCTCAAGCTTCAGCCTAGCCTTGAGTGCAGCATGCTTGTCTTGGTATCGTGCGATGAGAAGGTCCTCAAGGGTGCGTACAGGGGTTACCTTCAACCACTCAGTCAGGTCAATTCGTTCATAACCTGCAACAACAGCTTGGAGCTCGATGTAATTCCGTACGGCGGGCTCAATATTAGTCCATATGATCATACTTCGGTCCTCTTGCGGTATCCGCATGACCTCGAAGTATGACCGCATGGAACTAATACAAGAGGTGATGTCCGCTTTCCCGTCGTACTTGGACCCGCTTGTCCACCATGGGACCGCTGTACTGAACGTCAGTAGGGACTGTGGCGTTTTGGGCTGATATCCCCGCATTTGGGACTATGACTAGTGCAGAACTGTCGGCGTCGCCGCTCGAGGAGCTGGCATCGGATCCTGCACTCGTCACAGTTCCGCTTGCCCTTGTCATGAGGACTGTGTTGGGTTGAGAGACTGCCAGTGAGACTGCAGCAGGTCGAGGGTTAGGAGGGCGGGGGACAGACAGTTGGGACAATTTGAGGCTGATTATCTCAGCCTGCAACTCTTGGTTCCGTTGCTCTAGTGCTGTCACACGGGACTCAAGGTTTTCCAAGGTCCGCAATCGAACCAAGGCTGCTACGGCAGCAGCTAGTTCCTCCTGGAACCGATCAGCATTGGCTTTCGGGATCCGAAGGAGAGCCACCTGATCAGCAATGTTGGCAGCTCTAGCTGCTGCCGCTGCTTCCCTTTCCCTCTGCACGGCATCATCATAAAGTTTCTGGAAGAACGGTCTCTCACTCTCATTTGTTGCATCCAGCATGGCCTGCCATTGGGCAGATGTGATGTTTGCCATGCCGGAGGAAGGGGTGTCAGTAGATCTCTCAAGAGGGGTCCGCTCTCTCCTCACGCTTGGACGAACACTCCTCTTGCCCCTCCTCACACTCTCAAACAAAACACCTTCTCTCTCCCTTTCTTCTCTTCTCGCTATCTACGCACGTGTCTCGATACCGGACATAGATAGTTCATGTGAGAGAAACAATCAAAAAGTTCACACAGAGAAGAAGGTAGAACTCCTAGTCGGAGCGGCAATTCATTTGGACTCAGAGAATGACACGCAGCGGAAAAAGAATAATTAAAATAAAAATAAAAATAAATAAACAGAAGAGAGGACTGATTTATAGAATGGGCCCGATCAGATTAGTTGGAGATCCTCTCTTGTCTACCCTGACAAGGGATATGAATCACAATAAATCAGCCGAAGAAAACTAACTGCAACAATGGAGATTTCGAGGGGTGCAGACGGTCGCCGAGCTAGACGCGGGGCAGTATGTGATAACAGGCGGTAAGACCAGTCAAGATCCCCTTGAAAGGAATGTCCTTGCTTGCCATATGTCCCCCTAGTTCAGCGCAGCAAAGAGATGCACAAGCGACAACATATTTGGGCCCAAAAAGGTCCTGTCCCGTTGGACCTGGTCCCACTGGGTCCCGAGGGGTCCCAAGTAGGTCGTGGACTAGGACCAACGTGATAGGGGTACCAAGTCGGTCCCAAACTGTGTCTACCGTACTGAAAAGGAAAAGACAACTTTCAGCAAGAACTTACCCCTACAGCCGTTCAGAAATGAAAAGACAATGCACCGTAGAAAAATATGTCATTTAGAACAAATACATCACCCATCCATCCATCATGTGAGAAAGCAATCCACATGCTCACACACACAACCAAGACCGCAGAGAAGAGGAAGAGAGCCCAGCACACCCCCAACAAGCCATGAAGTACCAAGCAACCTCCCACGGGCATACCCAGGTCACACGACACTTACTACCTGTGAGGCCCGGCCTCCAAAGATGGATAACGAGTCACCCCCCTCTCTCATAAGTCCGCCTGACCCCTAGCTACCACTACACAAAGTGTCCTAGCATGACTAAGAGGGCCTTCCTACACCCCTGTTGCAAAGTCGGATCCCCCGTCAATGTCTGAAGACCAAAGTAGCAACTTGCAGCAATCCGATGCAGATATGGCAGCCCCCGATCAAGTCTCCCTCTTGAGGGGAAGCCTAAAAGTCACTCAATGTCTTATTGAAGTGCAGATTCCAGGTGTGAGTACCTCTCACTTTCTACTCCCTCTCGCTTACTCCAATCAGCCTCCTTTGTGTCTCGCCACCCGATCCATTCACTCAGTCAACCTGGTCAGGTCAAATGTCGACCCTACATGACCTAACCAGGTGGGGGCAGTATCCACATACCTCACTGCCCCACTTAACCCTAACTTCCAACCCTAACCCGAGGTTAGGTTTGCCCTAACCTAATTCGGAATTAGGGTTAGGGTGACTAACACCTCTCGCCAGCAAGTAAGTCCGCTCCGATACCAATTGTTACGATCCTGGTCATTTCCCAAGTGCAAATTCACAATGAAAGACAATGCCACCCAATTGCGAAAGAAATGAAAGCACTTGCAAAGAGATAAAGACCAGAGGAGAGGTAAAGAAGAAGAAGAAAAAGAAGAAGAAGAAGAAGAAGAAGAAGAAGAAGAAGAAGTACACCAGCAAGACCAATGACAATTCCCCCTTCTTTCTCCACCTTCCTCCTCCTCCTTCTCTTCACCAATCTTATTATTCTCTCAATAATAATAATAACAATGAATGGATGAACCAGAATCAATATCCGAAGTTCCCTCTTACTGTTGACTCAACTCAACAACAACAGCAACCAGTCCACCATAGCTATGGCTTCCCTCCTTCAGCCTCCTCTCTCATGCATAGGCTATGGCGGACTACCCCAAGCAGCTATGGTGCTGTGCTGATGTCCAAAGGACAACCCAATTAGCTATGGTGCTGCGCTGATGTCCAAAGGACCACTCAAAGCAGCTATGCCGCTGCTGACTTGGTCCGCTATGCCTGACTCTGCCTCGAGCTTCCCTGGTGCCACACTACCCCAACTGGGGCCTTCCAGATGCAGCGCCCAACAAGGTGATGAAGATGGTGTCTACCATAGCCAGGTAAGTGCCCCGCCACTCTCCTACTATGCCCCCTTCTTCCTCCTCCTCAAGCTGGAGTGCTCGCCATAGCCAGGCTGAGCTCCAGCGGCCCTTCACCTCCAAGCAGCGCTACTCCAGTCCAGCGCTGCGCTCCAGCAGCATGTCGCCAATCCTTGCACACCGCAAATGAGGAAGAGCTCCTTGCTCTTCCTGGAGATATAGCGGCCTACCGGCCTCCTGGGCGGTGACTTCCTAGGCCGAGCGGCCTCCCAGCAACCGGTACCTCCTCCCTTTCGGAGGGAAACATCATTGCAGGCTCTGCTATCCTCCCTACAGGCCCTAGACCTGGGCTACTTGGATTGGTACCGGCCTACCGCTATCCTACCGCTACTGGGCCTCTAAAAATGCCAACTTTTTGTCTTCTTCTGCTCGGCCTCCAGTACCCGACACCCCTACCACTACTTGAGTGGTACCGGCCTACCTGCTACTTGAGTGTTTTTTCCCCGCTGTTCTAAGTGTTGGGGGCCTACCCCCGCTACTTGAGTGTTTTCCCCCCTGCAACCCTCAAAGTCACGGCCACAGGTAAGTACCGGCCCTGYGGGGCCCTTCAACCAACAAGTACCCTTGCGGGTCATACACACACTCAACCGACAAGCACTCAGACAGGCATGCAAACCAGCAGGCACGCACACACACAGACATGGAAATCACAGCAGAATGCGGGAATTTCAGCAAGGCATTCATTCCAGCAGCAAATCCCAGAAATCAGCAGTGTTCTCAGTCTGTGTTTTTGGCGGGTCATTACACATGCCTGCACCTGCCTGCATTTTTCGAACCTTCCAACGACCAAATGAGCCCTAATCAACGACCCGTATAACCAAGGGCGACGAAAATGTCTCGGGGGGGGAACGTCTCAGGAGGGAAATGTCTCAGGGGGAAAAACGCACCCCTGACTGGACTCTTTTGGACACCCTTGCCTTTCCCCGCCGCGTGTCTGGAAGCAGCCGTTTAGTTACCCCGCCGTTGTGTGATCAAGCAGGCCAGCTCGGCACTGCTTACTGCTTTTTGTGACTTTCCCCCCCCTCCTTCTTTTCACTGCTTTTGTAACTTGTTCTGTGTTATATGATATATGATTTTTTTCATGTGTGAGTTTGAGCTGCCCGGCGGGGGCCGTGTCCCACTAGAGGGGGTTTAGTTTACGTTCCGTGTATTTTCCGACGTGGTCACACTAGGGCCGTGAGATTTTCAGATCGGATGGCAAGGAGCCATGTATATTCGAAACCAGAACAAAACCTCGAGAAGTGGGACATGGCCCCGGCAGTTCATTGTGTACTCGCCGGGCCGCAAAGAGGATTGGATCGGACGCCCGAATGTGGACGTATTTGCGGAAAGGCGGTATACCCAAAATCGCCATCGATTTGCGTTTCTGCATATCTGCTGAAAACACGTCTAGATTCCGGCGCTTAATCCTATTTGCGCCAGGCCTGTTCGTGTTTTTTCATTTTTTGACAAATTCACGCTTTGTGCGATTCCGATTGGCCGTTGCGTTGCCTCGCCTCGCCCGATGGGCGTCATGCTTGCGCGACCATACGCCGCGCATCTACGTATCTTTCTTTTCCCTTTTTTCCTCTTTTTTTTTTTTTCTCTTTTTTTTTGGGTCCTTTTTTTTTTTTTTTTTTTTTTTCCTTTTCAAAGTTCGCATCGTTCCGGTTTTAACGGATGTCCCGCCGAACGAAACGCCGCGCAGCATTATCAGTGAGGCCAGCAGGGTTAGCGCTCCCTACGGACTTCTGGATGCCAAACTGTGATTGCAATGAATGAATGAATGAATGGATGAATGAGTGAATGGAATAATCGATCGATCGGTCAGGCCACGTTTGCACTCCGCAGTCGGTCAGCAGTCAGCAGGGGAAATCATGGTGCTGCTCTCCCATCCATCCTCGGCCCTCATCGGGGGCTAGGTCCCACTTACACGAATTAAGCGATATTGACCGTAGATATCAACGGCCAGAACCTCTCTTAATCCGTGCAAGTGGGACCTTGCCCCCCGTGACGCACGACGGCGCCTGTGGCCGATCCTGCGGTCCGATGGACGGCGTTGAGTCGAGGCTTTCCCGCCCGATAGTCGCGGGAATGCACCATGAATTGAGGGCGAGGAGCGCGGGAAGGAGAAGAAGGGGGCTGCACTGCATCAACACTCTCCCGCCGGTGGATACGCGCGGGAATGCGCCGTGAATTGAGATTGAGAGCGCGAGAAAGAGAGCGTGGGAAGGAGAAGAAGGGCGAGGCATGGGCAGTAGAAC